AATAGTGAGTGACTCTTACATAAAATGTCTACAGTGTTAATTTCTTTAAGAGCTGAATCCATTTTCCATTTCATTCTTCTTACACTTTACGGGTAGCCTCCCTCACAAGTGTCATTTGTCGTTGAACAAAAACTCTGTCAAATGTTGAGAAGGAAAGGACAAGGAGAGAAAATGTTCACTGGTGGCAAGCTTTGGCAATTTTGCTCCGCCTTCGTGGTCGATATCAGTCCGTCGGTTTTCCGCATGGTGCACAAAGAGAGAAAAAGAGAGAAAACTTTCGTCGAGATGAGGCTATTTTCAGCGTTCCGGTCTTCCTTAGTTCACGTCGTTAGGCAACTCCACACTCACTAGTCAGACTAATGACACAATTATGTGTTTATGGGACGCATGGGTGGCCGAGCGGTGAGAGCGCTGGCCTGTCACCTCTGTGGACCCTGTTCGAATCTCGGTCGGGGCGCCATATGTGATTTGAGTTTCTTTCGTTCTCTCCCTTGCGTCGAGGGTTTTTCCGGGTCTTTCCGGGTTTTCCTCCCTCAGTAAAAACGAACCATTTCTATCTGCTGTGCTCCGCGTTCAGTCGTTCGTTGCTATGTAAAGGAAGCGCCTAGCCGGCAGCACGCCTATGTGTAAGTGTATGTAAAAATGTGTCGACTTGATAGCGCGTCGAGCTGCGTCTTTCGCAATTCAGCACCCGTGCTGCCATGAAGGACGATTAGCACCCAACACCTTTACCTTTACCTTTACCTTTAATAGAAGCTTCGGGTCCACTTGCATGGTTCCATCGCTACATTTGACGTCGGTTTTGGACGACAATGTTACTACTTGCGATTTTTTGGAAAACGTATATTCATATGCATATTCTTGTCTACCATAGATGACAGGATTTTCTCTCCAACTTCTTTACGCCTTGAATACTCACAAAAAAGGGAAACATTTTGTTACATTGTCGTAAACATTTTGGCGCCAAATTTTCAAATCGATATAATTCAAAGGCCAAATAGCTTGATGTACGAGCATAAAAAGCCATTAAGCTATTAAGCTAGATTTTAACCACAGTTAGCTTACATCTCTACTTGATAATAACAGGAAGATTGTAAGAATAAATGGAATGAAAAACATATAAAACTTTGGGAAAACTAGAGCACTTACAGACGATGTAACTACGTTGACAACTCCCAGGCGTTCCTCGAGACACAGGGACTCCAAAACGTTAGTTTTTATCTCAAATGGATTAAAAAAGATTTGCAAATGCAAAATTAATACAATAACAATTTAGAAACAATATCTTTTATTGTTTATGAATGTTATCTCAATTTAAAGTTCAAAACTTTGCACACAAATGAAATGTGTGGAATTTTACAAGATGTGGGTACCCTGTGGTGATCGTTGTTGTATTTTAAGAAGTTTGACACTTAATTTCACAATGTTCCACCACACGAATTTTTGCGAATTTTTAGTATGTTTGCTAGCTGGCATTTATCTTTGATTCTGAAGTGAAAAACATTCTTTTAYAATTTGTTTGAACTCGACCCAAAAAATTTCACAGGATGACTGGACTATAGTGTGAAAATACAACTGACACCAAAAAATTATTATATGTTTTATTAGATAATCCACAAATTGTTAGAGGTTGTTGGTAACTATTAAATAGTACATGTGGTACAATTACACCTAGCTCATAGAAATTGCCTAAATGAGCTCGTTTACATGTAATTTTGTGTATCTTACACAGTTTCTGACTTTAAATCAGTCAGAACTGCGAAGTCTTCATCCATTGTGTTCAGCTTCTTATTTTTTGAACTTATTTGAAAATATCATTGTTCATTATATTTATTGCTTGACAGAATTTGTGAATGATAAATAGTAGTTTTCTCTAAGCTTCTAGGCATATAATTTAACAGAAATGCTTTATGTATAGTGTCGGAAACTTCACACATATTCAGGAAACCGTACGCGGTATTCAGCTGGTGGAGTTTTAAGCTTAAGCAGGTAAATCTGCCAATTTTACTTAAGAATCCCTGACTGAAATAGAAAAACCAATCAACTGTTGACCAATCAGATCTAGAGTTTAGGTAACAATAGATCCGGGTGAGAACCAATCAGCAATTGCTAATACGTATGTCAAGAGAACATAACTAATTGACAGACAGATATTAAAACTACATGCAAATTATATACTATTTTTGGTATTTCATACTATTCACAGTTAACCCCACAAAGGAATATTCATCTATCTGATGGACCTCTGAAAGAGTCATTGGATCATTAAGAATCCAAAGGCTGCTATTTTATCATTATTATTACTACATTGCGTGTTAGCAGCACAATAATTCCCTGAGGAATAACTATTCCTAGTAGAGTGGTAATGCAATCCCAAGCCCAAAACACTATCACAAGTTTCGCAGTTTTTTTCGTTGTTTGATGCAATACCAAGACGCGTAAGACCAAGAACGTTAAACCCTTCCTGATTACAGTTTGGCTGCAGAGAGGATCCGTCAATCAGGGACATCCATTCGTCTTTACTGATGTTTGTTGCTCGATACTTTCCATCAGCAATGACGTCATAGAGAGATGAAGCCTTATATGGGATAACAGTCCATTTAAGGACATCATTCACTTTGAAACCAACGCACAGTTTGTCGAAAGGCATCGCCCAGTAACTTGGCATCTTGGTTTCGTATTTATCAAAACCGGTTTGACCGGCTGCCATGTTGTAGGATTCCTTATTGGACCAGAAAGACGACTCATTCTTAAAAGTATCCTGATACAATAAAACAGTGTAAACGTTTGGCAAAGACAATGATAATGACAGTACGTGAATCAGTAATCAACCAGACCAACAATGCTTATTTTACTTAAAAGTAACGGATTGCCAGAAATGATACTTTACAAACTTGAGCACATGTAATGCTTGTTTGTTTTTGAATAAGAGAGCTCCTATTTTACACAACATATTGCATGAATTCAGATAATACCTTTGAACCATCAATCTTCATGGCCAGCGTCCATCCCCCACCTTGACATATGTCATTAGTCAAATGGCAGTAGATTCTTGTGAGTTTGTTATCGATCTTTATTGTGTAGGCCTTGTTTTCACGAACGCTAGAAAATCAGAGAAAATATAGTTCAGTAAAAAGATATCAAATCTAGTTTCAACACAATAGTCCGTGGATTTCATTTTGTGAATGATTTNCTCTGAACCTTTTACGTCACTACTTGATTTCTAATGCATTGTGGGATCAGTTTCTAAAGAAAACAAAAGAAATCCGCCATGTTCTGTCCCAAACATATCCTACAATGCATTGCGTATACGGTACATGACGTAAAAGCTTTAGAGGTCTATTCTGCGTCAAGAGAACAGTGAGCCTCATCTTAATTTATCCAGATCTTAGAAGTTGGTTTGAGCCCTACATATTGAAGATTTTAAATTACATTCCACAATTCGTATATCCAAACAATGACTTTATAATTTCTACCTTCAATGCCCTATAGACTGCATTGGGCGTGTACACCAGGTCTTCAGGGTGTATGATGTGGTCTGAGTCGCTAAGGTTACATATTCGTTGTTGTTCATCAAAGTTGTACGAGATACAGACATCGTCCAGGAAACAATAGAACTGACAACCATCATCATCGATGACTGACTGCAGGGTTTTATAGGTATGGTTAACCAGGGCTTTACCTTGGATTATGTCTGAGAATATCTTTTCTTGATTACATGCGTGCACAGCTGAAAATGGAAGTTTTTTTAAATATAACTTTGCATAAAAACGACTCAATACGAAAGAGATAAGTTGTTTTACAGCATTTAGTGGAGCAGCTGTAAATTAAACCGAGACTGCAGACAAAGAAAATTCCACTTGCATTTTAAGACGTGAGCTTCCAGAGGAAGCCCACGTAAAAAAAAAAATAGAATAAAATAAGAGAAGGATCAGAATTTTGACAATCATATTTATTGTGTCGTCTTTCTTGTCGAGGACTTGAATGACACTATTACTTCTTAAGMTTCGAACTAGTATTTTTCTCGGATAAATTATCTATTAAATACTGATGTTATAATCAAATTCTGTTTTATGGAGTGAGGCTATGATTGATACCCTTTCGTAAATAGAACTTATAACTAGTATCTTTAATTTGAATGCGACAGTAAATATATGATATTACATTTTTTCCATCACAGAATGTTACTTTGGTGCAAATGTTGCAAGAAAAATATCGAAAATTTGAACCTATGTCTCTAAAATAATAATGTAGCGAGAAAAATACAAAACTATGAAAGTAGAATGAAAGCTTGTTTTTTTCTTGCGAAGTTTACATCTTTTCAGTTTGTTTAATATTAATGAATCTTCATCTCACGCATCTTTCCTTAGAACAAAATGTAAAAAATGACACAAATATGGCCTGATTGACTTACCAAAAGTAGATGTAAAAAAAAGATGAACTACTAGAAGTCGAAGCCCGCTGATACAACTAGCGACTTCTAAGTTCCTGGCTTCCATAACTGTCTTCTACATTTGAGATTCAGGCTTGTGATAACAGCTGCTCTTTCACAAGTCAATATCTATAACTCCTGAATAGTCCAGTGATATCTAGAACTATAAATAGCCGTGAAATGCTTCTGTTTTTTTAATAAAGTGTGATAATAACGATAAATTGTGCCAAAAAAAAGAGAGCATCGCTATCAGTGCTTTTTCAGAGTAAGAGGAAATTTGCTAATGATGCTCAGTAATACTGTAGGAGAAAATGATTTGTGAATAATTCATGATTCATTGGGACACTTAGCTACAACTATACAATATAATCAATCGAATAAATTCGGGCCACTAACTTATATAATTATATCAAAATAATAGTGTAGGTGATATGTCAAATTTAAGCCTTAAATTAGCAATAAAACTACAGATTATGCTTTGCAATGCATATTTTCAAGAAACATAATTTCAAAGTATTTGAATTTATCTGTTTTGGCGAGAGGTAAAAACTACCTGATATAACCCATTATAAAATTGTTGAATAAAATTGTGCAATTTCATTGGATTAAGAGAAGTGGTGTTTATTCTTGCTTAATAGTGATATTTCAAATTGCGCAATTTCATTAGCATGTTTTGTAGGTTGAATTTGGGCCTGTAAATACCACTTGTGATATTGTCCCAATTTTTATTTATTTTTTGACGAAGATACGAAAACATTTCCGACGAAAAGTTCTAAACTTTTCTATCCATAAATYTAGACTGTACAGGTTTTGTTTGTTAATCGCATATGACTTTCACATGACGTCAACAGCCGAAAAAAAATTCTAAAATCACAGACACACAACATTGAAGCACTAAAATACCTTGAAGAGCATGATAGAAGTTCTCTCTGAATGTTTAAACGTTTTTTGCTGTTTATTCGTTGAGTTATTCGTTAACATTCAAAAATATGTCACACAGCTGTCACGCGACTTGATACACGGCCAAAAATACTCGAAAAGCATATTAATCCTAGAGCAAATATAGTTTACCAATACTCGATCGCTCGTATTTCTGTTAAAAATCATTATTTTGGCTCGAAATTTCGTAATGATCCTTTATGAATTAAGATGTTCTCTCGAGGAAAATAATAAAAGTTTGCTAATTTTGCCTCTAAATAGTTTTTTTAGACTATCACGTGATCAGTGAAAGTCAAGAATATGTTTCTCACTTATTTAAGATAGTTAATAGTTTATTTAGAAATAACGGCATCAGAGCCAAAAGGCTGAAGTACCTTATTTACAATACGAATAAATGATAGCTTGAAAATCGGTTTGTATGAAAATTGCTAGACTTTGAAAGAGACAGTTCGCTATATCTCCTATATCGACAATGGGGTAGACCTTAATCTACATATGGGTCTATTAATCTTGAAGCAGCATATTTTAATTGTTAAAAATCATTATTTTGGCTCAAAATTTCGTAATGATCCTTTAATCAAGATGTTCTCTCGAGGAAAATAATAAAAGTTTGCTAATTTTGCCTCTAAATAGCAGAAATAGCTTTTCTAAATAGCTTAATCTACATATGGATCTAATAACCTTGAAGCAGCATATTTTAATACGATATCATGAACATAAATTTAGACGTTTGACAAAGAATGTTAAGTAAACGCACTTCTTTTTACCTTTTTTTGCCGAAAATGTTTTAAACAGTTATTGATATGAAACAGCAGATTATATGATGCTTTGCTCTACATCCTGTCAATAAACATAACTGACAGTCAGTTATTGATATGTGAAGAGTGCTTTAAAATTATTTGAAACTATCACGTTTTATGCCACTTTAAAGTACTGAAAACTACAACTGGCCTCCTCCGCAGACGAAATTCCAGTCTCCGTCCATCATATTTAGGAGGACAGGAAGCCCAAGAGTAGAAAGAACTGAGCCGAAATTAAGAGAGACGTCTGTACTCGGAGGAAGATGCTTAAACTTAAACTTATTTACTATCAATACTAAGCGTACATATATACTCTTTTAAATTTACTATAATTACTTACATAGAAAGCTGCGTTCCATGAATATACTAAAACTAATACTAAAACTAAAACAAATACTCAAACAAACATTATTTAACATTATTTTTGAACCATTGCGCGCTCTTAAGCAGTTATGTTACCATAGTGTTTTGTTTACATTTGTATCCTCGCGCACGCATTGTAATTTCATTTTGCCCTGATGATGGACAAGTTGTCCGAAAGCTCGGAAAATTAAAACACACGTAGAAGAAACAAAACCCTAGTATTTATAAAACATTATTTACTTTAATTTCCTGTTATTGTTATTGTTAGCGCTATTGCTGTTATTGTGGTGGTGCTAAAGAGACTCATTTAAAAATGTTTGGACCTAATAAACTATCAGTTTGTGTTCAGCTGTTGTCCGTGCGACTTCGTAGACTATTGAAGGATATAATATTTAGCATACTTGATCGGGACAGAAATATATATTATATCTTTTGAATCGTTGCGATCACTGGATCATTATATACTCAAATGCTGACTATTTTTTTTGTTTGATCCATTACTACAAAGTGAGAAAAAACAATAATTCCCACACGTGACATGATGATACAACCCACATCCCAAAGCACTATGTTTGAGAAAATGCCAAGACGCGAACGACCAAGAACGTTAAACCCTTCCTGGTTACAGTTGGGCTGCAGCGAGGATCCGTCAATCAGGGACATCCATATATTTATATATATATAATACTTTTTCATTTTTCGATTTTCATATCGGCAGATGTTATACGTGATATTTAAAAAACGAGTAGGAGTGTTTTATGCATGAGTGTTATAGTTATAAAACTCATGTTTAATTAATCAGTGTTTGTAACCTGTCATGAGACCCCATAGTTGAATGCTCATTGGAAGAATGTCTAATGAATAATTTTAGAATGTCTAGTCAAACACGATCATATTTTTCAAACTGCCTCAGTGCCTCAGGACTACTCGAACGTTCTGAGCATCTGTGAATACGAGATTTTAGCTAAGTTGTTATTTAAGTTTTCTCCAAGTTTGAGTCTGTTTTATATGTTTTGTAAAGAGAACTCATAACTACTTTAATTTGAATGGTAATTAAGCGCTTTGTGAGCAGTGAATATATGATATTACATTTTTTCCATTAGTGAATGTTATACTGGTGCAAACCATTGCAAGAAAAATGTGGAAAATTTGAACCTAAAATACTAATGTAGCGAGAAAAATACAAAACTATGAAATTAGTATGAAAACTTGCTTTTTCTCGCGATGTTTACATCTTAATTTGTTTAATATTAATAAATCATGATCTCAAGCATATTCAGCCTCAGCATTCAATATCATGATTGACTTACCTAAAGTAGATGTAAAAAAAAGATGAGCCACGAGAACACGAAGGCGGCCACTGATATTATACCTAGCAGCTTCTAAGTTGCTGGCTTCCATAACTGTCATGCAAGACAGCCTTCTACATTTCAGATTCACGCTTGTGATAACAGCTGCTCTTTCACTTTATAGGACGTCAATCATGATGGCAATGACTGCTGAAGGGTGCAGTAATATCTAGAACTATAAACTACCGTGAAATACTTCTGTGTTTTAATAAAACAAGTGTAATAATGCACCAAAGAGAGAATCGCCATCATTGCTTCTTCAGAGTAAAAGGAAATTGCTAATGATGCTCAGTAATACTGTATGAGAAAATGATTTGTGAATAATTCATGATTTGGGACACTTAGCTACAACTGCAATATCACTGATCAACCGAAGAAATTCTGTCCACTCTGACTTATATAAATATATCAAATAATAGTGTAGGTGATATGTCAAATTTAATCCTTAAATTAGCAATAAAACTGCAGATTATGCTTTGCAATACATACTTTCAAGTAACATAATTTTAAAGTATTTGAATTTATATGTTTTGACGAGGTAAAAATAACCTGATATAACCCATTGTAAAATGGTTGAATAAAATTGTGCAATTTCATTGGATTAGAGAAGTGGTATTTATTCTTGCTTAATATTGGTATTTCAAATTCAAACAATTTATAAAGTTAGAATATGATTGAACATGCTATTATTTGTTTATAAAATGGTTGAATAAAATTGTGCAATTTGATTGG